ATAGTCAAAGCACATCTATTTTGCTCACTTTTTTATATGTCTGGAGCATGTGTCACTAATATAAAGTAACAGACTACATATACTCAAGACATTTAACAAAATCAAACCAGGTCTTAAAGAAGTTAATAATATGGTAACAAACATTCAATAAAGATCCAGAAAATATAACCCATGATGTTAATATCTGAGGATAACTAACAAAATATAAGATACCCTGCATGTCTGGTCTGCTAGCCACATTTTCAGTTTGAGATAAGCCACAGTCAAAACAGAACCAGACATGTGAGGGGTGAGGCCGAAAAGGGGATCAGGCAGGAAACAGATATCCAAAGACCATAATCAGAGTATTTAAGGAACTAATAGCCATCCAAGCCGTCTTCCCTAAACAATTCATGAAGCTACTAAACTTTCTCTTTATCTGAAGGGTCTAAGTTACTTTAGGGAACCCCAGGCATCTTTTTGTTTAGGGTGCCCATGAGACCCTCAGCTATTATGATATATATCTTCAGACTACCGATGCTCATTCCTACATAGATTGAATTTATAATGGTAAGAATAACTTTTGAAATACTATGAATAGGAAATTTTTATTTTATGAGTTGGTGATTTTCATTTAAACCAACTGGAAAGGGTGAACGAATCTGAAAAACACACACATGTGATGTACATCAATAATTTCAACAATTTCCACCACACTAGGCTTACAAGCCAAAAACGTCTCTAAGTCATGACAGCTTTACAGATTTTGCTCTTTACTAGCTGCTAAGATCCAGAAATAGTACATTTCTGTCCTCTGTTCCCCCAAATAAGTGAAAAATAGTTCTCGTCCCAGCACTTGGGGATGCAGTTGAATGATTCAAGGAATAAAGTGTCCGTAACTTATATACAATAAATTTCTTGGAATATCAACTGGATAGGAATTTGTATAATTAATCCAGTGTGTAGCGTACTAGAAGTTTTGGTTAAATTCCAAGCATGCAAGCAATTCATGAGAACAAGAGGGATAAATGCTAAAGAACTTCAAGTGATCAGAAAGCCCAGAGTCCAATCAGTAGCAAGAAAAAAAACAAAACAAACTACATTGAAATTAGTTTGTCCTCATAATACCACAGAAATTGTTAAACTGATTGCTGCCTAACTTAGCAAAATTCTGGGCACATACTACTATTAAATAAATATTTTTAAGTGAATGACTACATCAGTCAGTAAACCTATCAGGTGGACTGAGTTTCAACAAATATATAACTTCCCTGGCATCTTCCACCTGCACCCTGATCCCAAGATCAAGAAGTCAGGTCATCCTGACCTCCATTTACTTATCTAAGAAAGCAACCTGGTTTAAAGGCCTTTTACATTCCCTCTTTGTTTCTCTCCAGATCTGGGTCCCTACAATGTGTGCTCCAACCAACTTCATTTCTTTCAGGTCCTCAAATACACTGTGCTGTCTCATCTTTGAGCCATTTACTATTCTCTGTCTGGAAAGTTCTATGCCTTTTCCACTTACATCTCAGTGTAGATTTCATTTCCTTTGGTCAGCCTTTCCTTCCAGTATTATCCCTCCCTACTCTTCCCACCCACCCAGGACGACTAGGTGTCCTCTTGTAAATAACCTTATTTTATTTTCTTAAACTTGGTTGTCTCATTTTCTGTTTCCTATACTAAAATGGACATGTTTGGGAGGGTAGCAATTGTGTTTCTATCTCTTCTGCCTAGAACCATGTTGGGCACATAATTGGAGCTCTGTAAACATTTGCTGAATAAATGAGTGAATGAATAACAGAATAATATTAGCTTTTTATGAGAATGAAAATGAAATGGTCTTCTCATTCAGAATTACAAATTATAAAATAAGTCATAGTTTAAAAGCTCAGCAAGGAAACTAGCACAGCTATTCTAATTCCCATTAATAAAATTTATATTTTCCCTATCATTTCACAGGCTATATCAAGTAGGATGTCTAAACAACATTCAAAATCATTTTCCATAAATTACAATTCCTCTCCCTGAGACATCAGTTTATTTTGAACATTTACTTGAATACAAACATAACCAAGCAAATTAAAAAAAAAACACACAGAATTTCTTGCCAGCCAGGAAGTAGATCTTTATATCCAACCCCCCTTTTGGTTATAGAAACCCTGTAAGTATCATAATAGCCTGCCTGGGAGACTTTCCAATCGTATGGTAAATGAACGTATCTAACACTGACTTTTGGTTTTAGTTTCCTTTTTATTAATTCCACAATTCACATTAAGTAACCCATCTGAAAGCAACCCCATGAAATAAAATGTCTTTAGGGATCCAGTTTTAAACTGTCAGTGTTTGGGGGTGACTAATCAGAATTATGATTTTAAAATACTGCCCCTAACAATTGACAATAGCTAAGATCTGGAAACAGCCCAAATGCCCATCAGTAGATGAGTGGATAAAAAAGCTGTGGTACATTTATACCATGGAATTCTATGCAGCAGTAAAAAAGAAGGATCTCTTAGATTTTGAGACAGTGTGGAGGGACTTGAAGAGTATCATGCTAAGGGAAATAAATCAGTCAAAGAAAAGACAAGTATCACATGATCTCACTCATATGTGGAATCCAAGTAACAAAATAAATTGATGAACTGAACGGAGTGGATCCAGAGATAGGAAAGCATGGACCAGAGTGTGGAATCTTGGAGGGAAGGCATGGGAGGGTGAGTGGGTGGGAGGTAATCAACCAGATACCTTGTATGCATATGCATAACCCATGAACACAGACAATAGAGTGTTGAAGGCCTGGAGGGTGGAGATGGCTGAAGAGGGTTAATGGGGGGGAAAAAAGAGACATTGTAATACTTTAAACAATAAAGATTTAAAATAAATAAATATTAAAATACTGCCTCCGCTCTTGCAAAATGTCACCACAAAAAGATGGTGAAAATTTAAAATCTCAGGGATTTCATTAGGGACTCTAAGGTTTAATTCAGTGACCTGACATTATTATTAGCTCAGCGGCTGCTTCTCCCAAGTCCCCACCATATAGGGTTTATTGGTATGGGGTGTGTGTGTGTGTGTGTGTGTGTGTGTGTGTGTGTGTGTTTCAAGCTGAAGAATTCTAAATTCTTTATGGAAATTGGATATTTTCAAGAAATAATTTTCTCAGCTAATTAAGTAATAGTTTTTCCCCACATGCATGTGTGTGGTTGGAACTGTGAGGGGCTGCAATCTGATGTAACCTTGAGTACCCTTAATTCTGTACAGCCCACCCCCACTGGCAACTGGAATGGAACAAACTGGATGTCCAAAAGGCTGCAAGACCCCTGGCAGAGAGGCCCTCTGGGATGCAGGGGAGACCAGCACCCAGGACCTGGTGCCCACCCCAACGTCTCTTCACAAGGGTTCTTTCCCCATTCCACGTAGTCTAATGTTTCCTCAGAAGTTCCTCGGTGTAATCCATTCTGTTTGGTTTCTCTGCCTCCCTCCCCCCAATCATCTGGACCCAATTTACAAACCCCAAACTGCCCAAGAATTTATGCAGGGCCTTTTTCTGGGAGCGTCTGGGAGGGAAGTGTAAACCAGACAAGACAGAGGCCAGGAGCAGAAGATCTGCTTTAATCCGCAAGGTTGGTCACAACTACCCAGGGAAATATTAGTCAGCCACTAGGCCTTGCTCAATGGCATGGGAAAGCCCTCGGGAGATGGGGAGCTGGCAGGGAGGGCAAGGAGGGCACAGAGAAGCTTTGAGATGGAGGGTCTGACCCAGCAGCTCCTGGGTTCTGGACCTGCAGGAGCCTGAGCCTTATTCTGATTCCATGGGCCAGATCAGCTGAAGAGGCGACTATCCCAAGGGGTCCGCCCCACACGCGGCCTCGGTTTCCCAGCGGATCTATGCAGAGGGGCTTTTATCTAGAAAAGGGACGGGAAACGTGCCTGGGCACCCGGTGGGACCTGCGTGAGCCTCTCTGGGCAGGCTGCTGGAAGAGCCTGATCCCTTCTTGGACGCGGGTCTCCCGGGCCGGCACCTCGCCGCACGCACGGGGTGGCGGAGGTTACTCCTCTCCAATCCATCTGCCCGCGGGCGCGTGGGGAGGCGCGTCCCTGTCTGTCTGGAAGCCGGAGGTCAGAGGACAGAGCGCGCCAGCCTCAGCCAGGCTCGGCGCACGCGGCTGGCAAGCACATGTTCATACAAACACTGCCACAAGGCGGGCTCTCCCCGCACCCCGCCTCCGCCTGCCCTCGGTAGCCACCGTCAGTTCCGCCCCCTGCCCTCCTCCCACCTACTCCCCTTCGGGGCAGCCTCCAGGCGGAGAAGACCGGCAGCTTCATCCCTTCCGCCCACGGGCCCAGAAACAAACTTGCATAACCCACTGACCTCTTCCGCAGGGTCCAGGGCAGCCAGCCCCGGCCGTGCACCCTCCTCCCCATCAACGCTCTTTTCCCCGCGGGGAGGTCGGAGCAGGTACAGCGCCCAAAGAGGAAGTGGGGTGCAGACAGGGTCCCCCTGAACAACTCCAGTGAG